ACCATAGCTCGACATTCATTGTAAATCCAGATAGTCCATCTAAGTCTTGGAATGTTTAAGATGTGTGAATTGTTTTATAATAAATATCATTCATGTGTGAAATATTAATGTATGGATATTTTTTTTATCACTAACTTACTTTTGCTTTTGTGTTGTCTGTTGTTTGTTGTCTTCTCTTTTGCAATGATGACCTAAATAGTGAGTTTAGGAAGAAATTTTTATAATTGCTCCAACTAGAGGTAAGGGTGAAGGAGATGTGTAGTTAAATGGATCTACAATACTGTATTTTTTCTTTGTGAAAAATTTGTTTTACCTAATTGTTCTTTTAACATCTATGTAAAATTTTATTTTAATAGGTTTATACTATTAAAACGAGATATTACAAACTAAACTACGTATATAAGTTAAAAATAAATAAATTAAAGTAGACTCTGTTATGATTAAAATATAATATTGTTTACATATTTAAGGATTAAATTTTCTTTTGATAATTATATGAAAGAACACATTTTCGAAAGGAATTAGTAATGTAAAATATAAAATGTTATGTTTAGAAAATTTATATTTATTTATTAACTTTTTGAAGACTGATTTAAAAAACATTCAAATTGAAAATTTGAAAACCATTCAACCTTGATTATGATATAGGTTCAGTATGCTACAATGTAAAATTTTAATCTCCTTTCTTAATTTCTCTAGGATACAAAACAGTGTAAAAGCTTTCAACGATTCAAAGGAGAAACTAAAAGAACCACTCAGATGAAATGGTGGTTCGGAAATGGGGGAAGGAGGAAGAGCTTCCCTTTCTCTGTGACTGTGTGGGTTGGGAGAGGCAGAAGGAGCCTGCGTTCAGATGCGGCGTTGGAAGCCATAGCAAAAGCTTCAGAAGACAGGGTTCCCAACATAGTTCTCTACAATTACCCTTCCTTTTCTGGGGCATTCTCCGCTCTCTTTGCTCACCTATTCCACACTCGCCACAATCTCCCATTTCTCATATTGCCCTTCTCTGCGGTTCCCTCTCTCGCTTTCAGGTTCCCTTCTTCGTCTACTCTATAAATTTCCTTTCTTTTTGTGATGGGGTTTTGTGTTTCCTGTTGTGGAGCATTTGAAGTTCTACTCTCTGTGCTTTACATCACTTCGAGCTTGAAACCATGAGATGGGGTGCTGCAAAGTTTTGGTTTTTGAATTATCCATTCATGAACTTATATATTTGTGACAATAGGGTTGAAGATTTGTGCACTAATGGCCTTGAGACATGTTATCTACTTGACTTTATTCCTCCAAAGGAATTCCTCTTCGACCTTTCCCGTAAATCAAAATGCAAGTAGGTTAATTTTCCTTGGAATTGTTATAATGCTTCTATTTTATTGATTTTGTGTAGTTTCTCTTGTTGTTTTCGTTGCATATTAATTAAATTAATTTTTTTTATCTATCTAGGATTATTGGGTTTGATCATCGGAAATCAGTTCTTAGACATATTCCCCCTGCCAATGTTTGCCCTGAGAATATTATGATTAATGTAAACCTTGAGAAGAGTAGCTCTAGGGCTGTTTATGAGTACTTTACAGGCAAGCATGTGGATGTTAACATTTCTGACGTAAGTAAAAATATAAGTTCTTTTATGTGCTTTAATTCTCCAGAATCTCATGCAACCATGGCTGAAATTTTGAAAGATGCCTGAATTTCCTTTAGGACGAGGCTCCATGTTTGGTGGACTCAAAGGACAAAGGCCGAGTGGAGCTAATTCTTAAGTATATTGAGGATGGAGATCTTCGCCGATGGAGCTTGCCTGACATTAGGATGTTTAATATTGGACTGAGTGAATGGCGGTCCAGGTTTAGCTGCATTTCTAATCCATACATGTATAAGCAGGCATGACTATTCTTCTTTTAAGATTGTTTCTGTGTTTCCTTCTTCTTGTTACTGTTGAGGGAAAATTTAGAGTTTAATTCAGATTTTAATTAATCCATAGTATTTTCTTATTCCTAAAGAGTATATAGTTTACTTAGGCCATGTCAAATAGCTTGACCAGGCTAATTAAAATGATTTTTTTTCAATAGGAATTTTACAACTATTATGTATCATACAGATTGTCAACATGCATTTCCATGTTTTCTGTCAACTTTGTCATTTATCTATCTCCTTCTTAGAAAGGGAGAAATGCATTTTCATAAGTTAATTGGTTGCTTGAAGTGAGCATGATATGACTAATACAAATTCAGAATTTTCTATTACACTTGTCACGGTGCCATACACTAATATCACGTGTCGTAGCACCATCTACTATGTTGCTTCCTTGCTTTATAAGACTTGTGTAATATTTCAAAAAGTAAAATAATCTTTATCTTTCTTCGTGTAAGTTATTGTCAATTTCTCCCTACTTATCCTGGCTTTGCTGAATTTGTTCTATTCTTTGAAAAATCCTCTTGCAGTTGCTGGAATTAAGTGCTGAAGATTTAATTGCTAAAGGATATTCATATTGTTCAGCTCGCAAAAATGCTGCAAGCAAATTGCTGGAAAAGGTGTTCAGGGTTCGACTGGGTAGAGGATTTTATGGAGAGTGCCTGGTAATATTTCAGTATACGATCATCGTAGTTTCTGTTGTCACTGATATGCCAACATTTTTATTTCTTTAAGTTTCTGTTGTTTTAAACTTAGTTAATTATGAATGAAAGTCAAATTTGTGCCGTTAACTTTGTCTCCTTCTTTTTAATACTCAATTTATAACTAGTACTTTCCAATTAATTGATTATAATGGCAACATGTGATGTGGTAACCCCACCCCAGTTTGGCAGTTGAGATTTATAATCGGGTTTTGTTGCCATGATTGCTGTGTAGGGAGTTCGGGCAGATAAGAATTCCAACTTAAGTGATGAAATTGGCAAGCTTCTTAGTGTAAAAAGTGCTGCTAGTGGTCTTAGGTGAGGTAATTTATTGAAAAGAAAGGTTTATCAAATTTATGTTTAATTTTATGTTATTATCTTGTAGCAGAATGATCTTCCCCTGTGGTTGTCTTAGAGCCCCAATTGCCTGCTATAAACGAATTACTGAATTATATAATCTTATCAATTAGTTTTTATTCATCATTGACAGGCCAATAGGGGCAGTGATATTCATGCAAAGGGATAATCTCAAAATGTGCTTGCGTACCACTGATACTGCCACCGATACCTCTGAAGTTGCAAAGGTGTGTCTTCCTTGTTTCACACATTGATACATTGTTAACACTTCGCAATACATTGACGAGTTTTCTGCTGTTGGAACCTGAAGGCATATGGCGGAGGTGGTTCCCCAAGTTCCAGCTCCTTCATGATCAGGATGGATGAATACAACCAATGGATTACAGGGAATTCATCTTGATGATTCATGGGTTTGAATTTAAAATGTTGGCTTAAACTTTGTAACACTTATGACAGTGTATACTGGCTTCCTGTTCCTGAAATAGCATGTAAAGCTGATCATTTGGTTATAGGGATTTGTTCAGGAAGGAAATGATGAGGTAATGGCACTTGCATTCTCCAAATGGTATCCGAGGTAATGGTCATGTTATCAGAACTGGTCCATAGACTTTCCTGATATTGTTGCTGAACATGGCGAGACTGAGAGAAAAGAAAGTAGAGCATGGAAGCATTCTATTCTAGGACAATCTGGTGATGATATTCAAGTTCAGCCAATTAGAAAGAAAAATTTCTGACAATTTCTTGTTAGTTTGAGACTCCAATACTCTGCTGGCATTGTTTCTTCAACCACCAGTTACCAACTTCATAGCATTTAGCTGAAGTTTCTGATTAATATTGCAAATTTTATCATTTTCAGCCAAAGACTGTGGTTGAAAATATTAAGGAGCATTAAATAATAAGTGAATATAGTCGTTATCTTTTTTTTTTATTCATAAGTTTACCTTTTTTAATCTGCTGATTTTGGGTTGCCATGTTAGGGTTTGTTTGACAAATATTGAACTTTTATCCCCGTTTGTTTGGGTGATAAAATTTACCTCTAATAAATTTAGTCATTTTTTATTTATTTTAGTATATGAATGTTTGGCACAATTTATCATTTGATAAATTATGTCAACACTATGTAAAATGCTAACATTGTCATAATAGAGGGAACCAGAATAATTTTTCAAGCACGAACTAGCTTCCTCTGTAATACCAAAACATTGAAAACAATAGTTTAACAGTCTATGGTTGAATGTGTTTCTATTACACTGCGAGTGAAAGTGAAAGTTTGAGGGGATATATCCTATTAGAATGTTTCGAGTTTCAACCCATCTTAATCTATTCACTATCTTAGCTTATGCCTTATGAGAAAGGCAACAAAAGGGTCCATGTAGAAAGTGGTGTGGTAATTAATACTTAGGTCTGTGTGGCTAATCGAGACTCATTACCTAAAGTTGAAAATTTATACATTATTAAATTCTGCTCATGTTTTCCAATTATTATAGAAACAAGCTATTGAGAATAAATGTTGACATATAACTCAAATTTAGCTTATTAATATATCATTAGTTATTTAAGAAAAACATTACTAGTTACCAAAGTTATCAATTAACCTAATTTTATCATAAGGTTGTCCCTGTATTCAATTCCAATCATACAAAATGCAAGTTATATTTGTTACACAATATAAAGTGGAAGAATGAGGAATATGGTTAAGTATGTATTTTTGTAAATATATACATATATATATATATATATATATATATATATATATATATATACTCTTTTTATTTTTGAATTACTTTTATTGTATTTTTTTAATATTAACAAAACAAATCTTTTAACATGCAAAATTTTGAATAATATTAAAAAAATCTATAATAGAAAACTGTGCTCCATTTTGCCTCTGAATTTTACTACAAATTTGACTTGAGCACCATTTTTTTCTCTCTCAATTCTTCATTTAATTGAAATGATATTATTAAAGCCACCATGAAACCCTGGCAATAAATTGCAAAGAAGCCTAATTTAAAAAAAAAAAAAAAAAAAAAACTATTTCCTGAGAAAATGAAATATATACAAGTTCTCAAAAAGCTTAAAAAGAATTAAAATACAGGGCAGCCATCAACCACTATGCCCTTTGCTGTAGGGCAAGTTGCAAGGGGACAATGCTCCCCATCATTTCCCCACCAAGAGATACTTCTGTTTTCAATGCCCACTGCAAAGTAGAGCGCAACAGCCATAATAGCAACCCCTGCATCAAGTGCTGCTGAAAGAACATAGTTGTATCTCTGCCACCACTTCTTCCTGTAACGGAAGACAAAGAAGTTGAAAACGGTTCCAATTATAATCCAAGAATTGTAGTTCATTGCTGTTGCCGGTGGCATCATCCCAGTTGCCCCCAGAAGGACTGGAAGATTGATCAAAGGAATCCATGACTGCTTGGGGAATGCCTTGTGCAATAGCCAAACTAGTATTGGCCCTATAGCACCTCCAAGGAAAAACCAATTCAATGCTCGGTAGTTTCCTTCAGAACCAAAGATCCTCCTTGGTCCCACCAGACCCCAGATAACTGATGCATCAAAGAAAACACGATCACTTGGACATGTCCAGGGACTGTCGTCAGGAAGAAGATCTGTATGGCATATGTTATTGACAGAGTCCAGCAACCACCATGCTACACCAGTGCTTATGGTTCCAGCAAGTATTGTACCGATGAACTGCACTCGTTGAACACAGTAGACAATGTAATATATATGAATATAGTGCAAGTTATTTTTGAGTGACATAAAGGTATGATGAATATTCCTTCAATATCAAGTCACAAAATTTGAAGGGGTTGAGGTAAGAGGAAACAAACATCATGAAAATACCTGTACTAAAAACATTGATCTTGGAGGGATCTTCATGTAGTGGCCAAGCTTGAAATCGCTGAGGAAGGAGACAGCCTGAGCCATGCTTATATAACCAAAGGTTTTGAAGCATACATTTGCTATTGGTCTTCCGGGATAAATGAGACCAAAGATATACTCGGTAATAACGTTTAGTCCTGGTGTCTGTACGCAGAGCAGGAGAAAGCATGGTATTTAAGATACTGAGAAAAGTGTGTTTTGATCACAGATTTGGAACAATGAAAAGTTGTCTCTGATATTTAGTGTGTTTTAGGTGTGTGCATATAATAAAACAAACAGTGAGAAATAAAGATAACGTATATGTCCCATATGGTGCCAATTTTTTTTGTACAAATAGTGTGACTAAAGGAGATTGCAGTTTATATGTATTCAACATTTTCTTGATAAGATGAATTAGCATTTTCTAGAAGGGGAAGGGAGCAAAAGTTGCAAGATTTTAACCTGGTTTGTGGTAGCAGTTATGATGCTAATTGGGAGTGTAAATATAAAGGCCAAGGCAGTAGCAAAGACAAGTCCCCACCACGGCATCTGAACCTGGTCATTTAGAAAGATGCATAGCATGAGAGAAACCAGAAGCGTCACGCCCAGCATCACATAAAACCACCAAGAAGGTATGTCTTTGTATTTTTTCATCAGTCTTGTGTGGATATCTTCTTTACCTTTTGCTGCAGCACGATATCGATCCATAATTTCCCTGCATGTTTAAGTCCACGTTACTTAACATTTTTCAAACCATATAAGGGGTTTTATGTAATGTAAAAGGGTGTCAGTATAATGTTAAAAGAAAGGAAGGGGTTTTCTGCAGTTCTCTGATAAAAGAGTAATTTAGTCTTAAGAATATAAGAAACAACTAAACAACATTGCTAAAAGGTTTGAGTACTGATTCATAAGGGAGCATTATTTACCGTCCATAGAAGAAAGCAACGTGTGTAAGGGTGGATGATATGGTGGCAAATCCAAATCCGTAAGTGAGAGAGAAGAAAACACTAAGATTAATTCGACCTTGTTGGTGATACTTGTCAAGATCTAACTCAAACTTTTCGTTGACAATTGCAGATATGTCGTATTGTTGGCCATTGGATGTGAACAAGTCTGATGAGAAAATAGGAAACCTATTTGCATTGTACAAGTTGAGGCCCCAGTATGCTACAGGAATCACAAGATACACTGTGACTGAGTAGCCAACAAAAATATTGACAATGGCAAAGAAGGGTGAGATGAGAGGGCTGAACAAGAATGATGCTACAGCAGACCAGTCTAGTGTGATTGCACCAAGTCCCAAGCCATTCATTCCCGAACCTAGCTGCTGAGCCGTGACTGACTTGGAGAATATCCAACACACCCATGATATATTTGTGAGCGTTGAGAAGAAGTATCCAGGGATCACATACCAAAAAAAACTGCAAACCAGTACAATAAAGAAAAACTTTGCCCTCGAAAACCTGCGATCATCTTTCTCATGCAAAGCCCTGCATATATCAACAAGGTTTATTCTATCTAAGTAAACTAAGAAATTGAAAATGATACCCATGCAATATATAGTTATAGAACATCATACCGGAAAAGAGAGACCTGAACGAGGGTACTGGGCCACCACATGTGGGCAGGCTCCACCACGTACTTCCTCAGCAACCCTGCCCAACCGTATCCTAACACCTGCACTCACATTCACCAAATTCAACTCATTCACATTCGATCAATATCACTGTCACTTTTTCCAAGGAAAAAGGTTTAAATGATTACCTGAGTGGTGATGACGAGGAGCCATGAAGCAAGGAAAGATATTTTCCTTCCGTAAAAGGCTTTCACGATATTTATGATGCCCACCGCGTAGGGCGACCCGGACCCGAATGCGCTGCCTGCGTTGGCGAATATGGTCACCAGGACGTGCTCCTTCATGTTGAAGGGGCCCGGGTTGAATGAGAACTGCCTCGACCCGAACCCGGGGATCCGGAAAGTGGTTTTGGGGAGGACCGCCGCCATGAGGTGGCCGATGGGGAGGGTGGCCACCTGCACGGTTATCTGAGTGATGACGAGTGGCTCCGTCCGGTAGGAGAAGAACTGGTTGAGGAAGGACAAGAGGGAGCAGGAGACCAAACCCAGGAACCACATTCGGAAGGTCCATACCGGCTGGGTCGGGTCATCCGTGTTCTTCACCGTTAATCTTACTTCTTCTATTGGAGACTCTTCTTCTTCTTCCACGTGGGCTTTTTCTGGGTCTTCGCTCTTCGCTGCCGCCATTTCTACACCTACTTCTTTCATTCAAAAGTTACTTTCCACTGCTATTTATATTTCTATTATTATTATTGTTATTATAATCTTTTATTAATTAATTAATAGTTTAAGCTGTTATAGTTAACCGAAAATATTGGGATAAATTGATTTATCTTCCTAACCTTTCACTAACCGATTTGTTGATATTTGAAGCTGTTATCAGGAAGGTAAAAAAAGAAAGTAATTTTGGTTCTAGTTTTATTGAATGAATAAGACCAACATTAGAAAAATATTGATTCAATCTTAAATCTCAGTTAAGAGGATTGCTATGAATATTTTAACATTAATTATTATTTAATAAGTTCAATTATTATTAAATAAGAATTGTTAAAATTTTAAACCTGCTTTCACTTGCCACGCCTTCCACAGGAATGGATGGAGTTAAATCTATATGACCAATATTTGAAAATATTAATATAATGATACATATCATAAAAGCATAAGAGTTTGGTTTGAAATTCAAACTAATCATTGTCATTTAACAAGCATAAGGACAAGGATGGGATGGGTATTAAGATTTTAATATTGTATTTATCTTCAATAGGATGACAACGGGTATTAAAAAGTTCTGTTTGATTACTTGTCCTGATATTAATGAGATATTCCTAAAAATATATTAGTGAATTTTTCTATATATGTGAATATCCACTATACTTGCAGATTTTTACATTTTTAAAATTTTAAATAAAATTATTTAAAAGCAAATTAAATAAAAAATTAAATTTTAAGTAGAATTCGAATTGAATTATTTAATAAAATACTAATGCAAACAAATCATAGTTTTTAATAATTAAATGAGTTCCATCATAGTACAAATTTTAATTTTTTTTACAAAATAACTGCAATATACTAGGTTGAATAAAAAAATAAAAATATATAAAATTAAAATTTAAACAATTTTTTCACTGCTAATATTTTTTACAAATAATTTCATTTTGATCACTTGAATTTAAAAAAAAAAAATCCAAATAAAAGGTATTAGTAGATAACATATCTTCACATCTCATATACTACTATACTTGTATTCATCCCATGATAATTAAATACATATATTCATTATAGATATCTATATAATATTTGGTACGGATTTTATTTTAAATTATCTACGAATACGTTAATGTAGATTCCTATAAATTTTTCACTATTTAATATATAACAAATCCTTGCTATATGTATGTGCTTATTTTCATTCAATAAGCAAGAGAGAAATATTTCGATTTTTTTTCTTTTATCTCCTTAAAGCCTTCCCTCTTATCTCCTTGTTATTTACATTCCAATTAAAAAAATATTTTAATTTTTTATTATTGGTTATTTTAAATTTTCTTTTATATAATTCTGTGGAATATTTCCCACGCACAAGAATTATTCTTAATGCAACAACAAAATTATGATTTTAAGTCTTATTTAAAAATATAGATCTTATAATTATTGTCAAGACATTCTTTAGTAGAAAGGTCTTTTAATCCTCATGTCTTAAAAACATCATCTTAGTATTAAAATTAATAACAAAATCATATTAAATTATGTTTAATGTAATTTATAGCCGCTATATCGGAAAATTTGATTGTTTTTATTACTATAAATTGTAAATTGAAGAAAAAATTATAAATAAGAAAGTGAAAATATAATTAAACAATTAAAGGTTATTAGTGTTATTATTTATATTGATATATTTTTGCATATAGTCTTGATTACTATATTTATTAAAAATGTAACATATTTATTTAATTTAATAAATATAATATTAATATATAAGAACATGAAACCTTGTTAACATGGCGATTATCACAATAGCTCCAGAGCACAATTTTAATTTTGGATGATTGATCATTAGTTTAATTAGTTGCATTAATTTTTGTTTTATTGTTTAAAATAGAAGTCGAAGAGATTAATACGACTTTTGCAAAAAATTATTTTAGACAAAGTTTTCTCATGACTTTATTTTTCTGGTAATCGTATTTTGGCCTAAAGTGAAAGATCCAAAACATCAGTTTCATCCAAAGACGTGGTAATATCCAAAAACTCCAACATTGTGACATCAACATGGTAGCTTCATAAGCAAAAGTTGTGGGGCTTGCCCAATAGAACCCTATTCTCGCAGCGTACGAAGATAGTTGGGAAGCTCTTAAATGGGTAACCTCTCATTCCAACAACACCATATGGGGTTTATTACGGGATGCTGATTTTTGTGATGGGAAAGGATGATCTTAGGGACTGAGGGATTTGGTTCAAGTATGGCAGAGACAATCTTTGCTCGCATGGCTTCTTTCCTTGTTTCAAATATGAAATCAAATTAAAAATACAAAGGTTGAATTAAAATAGTACCAGGCTACGAAGACATCTTCATTCATTGAAGTCGTGTGTCAAGTGTGAGCGACTTTGCCTAAAATCACTTTCTACTATAATCGTATCATCCATCTACTTCAATTTGACAAAAAAAAAAAACTAACACAATGAAATAAGAAAATGAGAAAATTATGTATAAAATTAGAGCAAGATGAAGGATAATCAAATTGTATGACAAATTTGAGTGAAATTTGAATTAGTAACTAAACTAATGGCAGAATTTAAACCTTTATAAGAGAAAAGGCCACCATGATGGTTGAAATATCTAATTGAATAGAGAGGAATTATGATAAAGATAAGACAATCAAAAGAGAAGAAAGACTTCACATTTACATTTGTTTCCAAATGTGTACTATTCACACAAATGGAAAAATGAGAATGTTTATTGCTTGTTTTTATTGAATTAAAATGATATGCAATGATGAAAAAGCAAGAGAATTGTTGCAACACTACCCTTCGCTTAGGAGCCAAAAACACGAAGAAAGTCAGTTGTACAATTATAGTTTGACATTTTTAGCCTTGCTTTATCTATTTCATTGTGTATGAGCATGACATGCCAAATAATCAAGTTTGAAGGCACGCACATAGCATAATCAAGACAAAGGAACAATTTTAGCCCAAACAAAAATCGATTCTTTGTACGGTAAAATCAATTCTCTACTAGCTAAAATCAATTCTCTGATGGTAAAAAATGATTTTCAATGTTTTCTTTCTTTAAAATGTGAATTTTGGTTGAGGAAATTTGTGAATAGTTTTTCTTCAAAATTCTACTCAGATTCTTATATACCATTCTCAATGTAATTCTTGAATTTTATTTTATATAGCTATTTTGTGTAAGTGTATATATCTTTTTGTGCATATATCTTTTTGAAATGATGTTTCATTTGTTAATCCTTGACCATCTGAGTTACAACAAAAGATTTTTCAGTGTTTGAATGTGGTGACAACAAAAATGGAGTCATTATAGTTGGGGACGACTCTAGTTTCGATTCCAAGTCACTTCGGTACTGTGGTGGGCATGATTTGTTTAAAAGGTGGTGAGGAAGGAGGACCCCATTGACAAAGAGTTGATTTGCAAATAGAATGTTAAATTGTGAGCAATGAGGGTTTCGAACCATCCAAAACTCTCATTATGGTGAGGCACAAAGGTTGATTTTACTTTAAGTACTTCTAAGTTAACAGGGCTTTGTGGTGTCCATTAGAGTGGGATGTGAAGGTGGTGAAGACGATATGGCCTTTTGAAGAGGTGGTGTGGGATGTGAGAACAATGAGAGTTGTCAACATTTATAAATGGTTATCAATGAAAATAAAATTTTTTATTTTATTTAGACTAATCACACATGATTTATTTAAATTGAATTTCTACTTGTTTAAATTTAATTTCATCAATTATTATTTTTTAAATAATAACTCACATTTCATTTTAAATAATAACTCACATTTTATTTTAAACTAATTTTAATTATAAGGGTATAATTGTAATAGTATAATTTTATCAATTCAATTTTTTTAATCTACCACACTCATCAAATCACTCACAAACTTCTCCTTCACTTCTTTCCACTTTCAAGTTTTTTCCCTTAATCCAAACAACCTCACTTTCCACTATCTTTACTTTCAAATTCATTCTTTTTCACTTCTTCAAATCCATCCTAAATTGAAATAAAGTCTTATAATGTGATATTATAGATAAGAGACATGATCAATATATACAAGTTCCAAGGTATAAAAAAAAGGAACAATGTTTCAAATAAAAGTCAGATGTATCACACATGTGTGATTCCAAAGTTTTATGGTAATTTTTAAAAAAGTGTTTATATAAGTTTATGATTCTTTACATTCAATTCTAATAAAGAGGAAAATTAATCACTTACATTATCACTATAAGGTATTATTTTTTGTTGATAGAAAGTTAATACTTGATCCATAGAGAGATGTTTTCCATCTACAAGAAGAGATGATGGATAAGACACTCTATATTGTGCTTCGCAAGAAAGAAAGAAGAATGCGAAAGAGGAACGAGAAACGCATAATACAGAGTGAGTGAGTGAGGCATATTTTGGGGAAAAAAAGGTTTTGAATTGCTTGGGGGCCAATGGGCTAACCTGCCCCACCTCGTCATAGGCTCGCACGAGCTATGGGTTATGCGGATCAGATTTACATGGGCACGTGAACTCAAAACCCCAACTTGCCCCAATCTTTTAATTGTGGGCCTACAGGTTGGGTCCGACCCGCCTGGCCCGTCTCCCTTTGTCACCCCTACTCAAAAGGCACATGTAATTGTAAAATACCCGCATGTGAATGAAGAAACGAGATTGAACCTATGAAAAAGGGAAAACAACAACTTACTCATTTGAAGAAACTAATTGGATGGACTTTTAGAACTGACTCCGAGATATTCGAACAATTGAACAAAAAAAACTTTAGAAAAGTGGTTTTTAGAGAGATGGTGATTTTATATAAAATAAAATTCAACTATTAAAAATCTTTACATAAATTAAACTTTTTATTATTAAAATATTATAGTGTTCTCATTTTATAAAAACCATCATTGTTTTTAAGTCATTTTCACATTTAATCTTTAAATTAAGAAAAACATTATCATTGTATATAAACAAAGT